CAGTTTTATTATGTTCAGTTAGAAGTCCGTATTATTATGTCCCTGGTGTCAGGTGCTTATGATATCTCCCTTGTTTTTAAAGCAATGCAAATGAGTCTCTAAACTGGGAAGGCAAGGCCTGGCATTTTAAAATTTTTATTCCTTCCCGCCTGCTGTGCTACCCTTGTTTAATCACACTATTCCTTTTCTTCTACATTGTGTGCTCTTGTTCTAGGGAATATGCAAACTTTATTAGCCGCTTCTTGCTTTCAAGTTCAGCATTAGCTTTTTGTGGGAGAATTGAGAATCAGGTACACCATGAAAGAGCCTGAAGGCTCGAGTCAGGCAGAAGAAGGCAACGCTCATAATCTAGACTGACAATCTCCTGATGCCATCCCTTCATTATAAATATTGTTAAAGGAGAGCAGACCTCCGTGGGCCTGTATAGGACGCAGCATATCAAAAAGGATGCTTTGATATCTGCTCCTCAGTAGTTATGCCTCTAATAATGACAGCAGCTTTGACAGGTCGGTTTCATTTGATTGTCTTTTGTGGGAAGTTTCTCTACAATTAGCATAAATATTTAATCTTTCCGTCTGAGCTTGTGTTGCTGTACAGGGCTGAGAGGAACCCAGCTCATGCTGCAAGGATTCCGAAAATGTCAGTATTAACTGGAATCTAAAAAGTATTCTGATTCTATAAAGTGTACTTTTCCACACTTTGGTAAATGTGTACCCCCTCATAATTAAAAAAAACTCTACCTGGAATTGTAGCTGACTGGAAACAGATCCTTTCTAACACTTGCAAGGACAGGAGACATCAGTATGTTACTGACTGATATTACTTCAGACACCAGGCATGTAAGCTGTTACCTCTCTGCTTCTTAAAACTATTATCAGGGGATTATTTAGTCATTAATCATGGAAGTCCCATAGAACTGAAATGGATGTCCTACTTAGAAACAGTTTTGAATTTTAATGCAGCATTTATAAGATCTACTATTTATATGATTTTATGAAATAGCTGGCATATTCTCTGTTAATAAACAAATTAACATTTTTAATTCTTAATAGTTTAGATTTGTTAGCAATTTGTTATTAAATACTTCAAATAAAATATATTTCATCCCTGAAGCATTCAAAACATTCAATGATACGTAATACTACTTAAGAGTAGTTGATATTACTACTATCACCCCCCAGTATACTATCTTGATAACTTTAAAACTTTAATGCTGATAGAACTGATATAGCCTAGAACCTTTTTTTTTTTTCAAAAAACAACTTGTTGAAATGTATTGGTTGCCTGTGCTTTAGGAGTAATACATGAAAAGATACATGGCTCCTATTTATACTCTATAAAAATGTTTAAGGATAGGAAGCACAGAGAAAAAACACACATTAAACAATGTGGAATACCTGTTCTTTTAAGGATACAGCATAGCTTTAACCAGCATGGTTGGTCCAAACTGAATATATGGATAAAATATGCATTTAACTCCACTCTTTTATTGGCCAGTTTATTCCACAACAAATACCTTTGTCCATATGATCAGTTGAATATCAAATACACAGAGAAACAGGAAGACAATCCATGACAACAGTACTGATTTTCATGAGATGTTTAAAGCTCAGTCCAGGATTTATTAATCTATGGTTCAGCTGTGATCTAGTCAAGTCATGTCACTGTCAGGCAGCCGAGATTTCATCAAAGCTTAACGCCTGTGTGACCTCAAAAATGTTGAGACCTTGGCATGTGTGGTGCAATTATAAATAAAATAACTGAACTCTTTAGGGAGATCCTGTTCTCTCAAACTAGATGTATGAAGTAATTACCTGAGACGTCCCCCCCCCCCTCCTTATTAATCCCCCATCAAGTGAGAACCGTCCACAAAGAGATACAAAGGTGGCTGTCAGGTTTTTCCAAGTGCAGTGATGGAAGGGGGTCATTAAAACCATTACTGTGGCTCCCTCATGGTTAATGGAACAAGGTTTTCTTTTTAATAATAAACAAAGTGGCTCAAAGATTTCAGAGAAGATCACTAGAACCCAGGTTTCCTTCATCTCCTCAAAGTAAGCGGAACATATGCAAAAGACAGCAAAGCTTTTGGAGTGCTGGCTTATTTAACTTGAAGGCATGTTACACAATTATATCTGCTCACTTACACCTCCAACGACGTCTAATGTGATGCAGAGCAAGCCACTGTCAGTGTCCCTCATCATGCCTTGCTCTCCTTTCATCTGCCATATCTTCAGTGTGCTTTCCTATAGTATCAGAAATCTAGAGATGATCTGATTCACTTTCAAGGCTGACAACTTCAGTAAGCTCCATAAATGCACTGAAATAATAATGATAGCATGTAAATGATCTATCATAATATGTAAAGAAATAAAATCATGTCAGAAAATATTGATTATAGTTCTAGCAACTACTTTTTTCCTTTAAAAAAATAAATGCATCTATGTAGCACTTTCCCAAATTATTCCACAAAACAATACTTTACATTCAATTCAAAATACTTTATTCTACCCCAAGCACAACTTGTGGATTGGCTGGGAATCGATCCCAGACCTCATGCGTGACGAGTGAGAATTCAACCACTGAACCGCCAATCTTCAGTGGTAGAATTCACAGACCCACTGTGTTCACCTCAGAAGTGCTGCACCCACCTGGGAGACATGCAGCAGCAGTCTCACCACAAAGTAGATGATGGAAAGAAGTGAGGAATTACCTCACCAGCTGATTTAAGGGGGAAGTTTAGGTAGGCCAGGGTAGAAACGCAGAAGAGACCAGGGTAGCATTGCAGCTTTTAGGAACTATGCCATGGGTCCTTAATGACCAAATTAACAAGACCACAGTTTAACATTTCTTCTGAAGGATTCTAGCTCTACTGGGACATTGGTTTGGAAATTATAGTCCAGAGGAACTATACTGCTCAACAAAAAAACATTTACTTCAAAAATGTGTTTTTTCTTAGAAATCTCCAGTCCCTCTACTGAGCAAGCCCAAACTTGCTTAACTTCTGAAATCCACTAGGATCTGGCGATAGGATTGTAAGCTCTCTAGGAAACAGATTCATGTGAACAAGTAATAGGTTTATTCCATGCTTTTTTTCAGCATGGAATAAACCTATTACTTGTTCCTTTGCAGCCTACGCATGCTGACGCAGCTACACACCTAAATAGATTCATGTATCTACTTCATTACCAAATGAAACAAACATCAAATTTTGAACTGTGCACAGATATAGCAATTCTACCCAGAAAATGATATGCCGTTTTTGCTGAACTGTTATTTCTAAATTACTGAATTATACACACAGAACAGTAGCCTTGTCAACATAAATGTGTCTGTATTATTTTCACTAAGTACAAAAATCTGTTGAACAAAATTCAGCAGAATAAGGCCTTATGACAATTAGTGTATGTATTAATATTATTTTAAGTCACACAAAAACCTGTCAAATGCATGAATTAGAAACATCTGACAATTGCAAGTTGGAGGCCTTCAGGCAGTATTGTTTTTCTTTGCATAAGTATGTATATTACTATGTGTGTATGCAAATTCCATTCTTAAGTACTGCATTTTTTAACACATTGGAAACTACAGCGCTCTTTGAAGTAAACAGAATTGCTGAGCAAAGCCACATTCTTCCCACAGCACCAACACTGGGAAAACAAGGCTCTCGACTCTCTCTCCTCCTCACTCCCCCTCCTCACCTGCAGTTTGCATCTCAAACTAAAAAAAGTTTATATTTATTCCTCTTTGTTCCTTTGACAAGTCACACTGAGAATTTACTTTTTGACTCCTCTAGACTTGGCTTCTGTTTATCATTTTGATAATTGCAAAGCTAATCTTTTTAAGGTAGTGTACACAATGCTGTTGTTTCACTGTTTCAGTAGTCTGGCTAGATCTTAACGAATGCGATAGAGGGAGGAAACATGTAGAGCATATTAGGTGTGACTTGCCAATCTGAGGTAGTGGCAGCCTAGCCAAAGGAATAGGCTGCCCAAACTCCCCTCACTATTGTGAGGAATGAGCCAGGGAGCTGCCGCAGGGGTGTAGATGGGGAGGCAGGAAGGATGTGAAAGAGAAACACGAAGGGAAGTCCTAGGTGAGGGATGTATATACTGAGAGAAAGTGTGCAAGACTATCCTCCTCACCTTCTGTTATAAATTCCATCTGTTGTCCTGAATGGATTGACTTTTTCAATGAGAAAGGGGTATCCAATATTCTCTAATGCAGAACGTTACACCCCAGGTAGTCCACAGTAAACTCCCCCACCTTCCCCTGTGCAGCATAACTTGAAGTCAGAGTTGCACATTGTTGTAGAAAGTGAAGGCCTTAAGCGAGGCCATCTTAGTTTCTTATTTGAGCCCAATCAAACTGTGTAAGTGGGTTATTAAATCTGGAGCTCCCTAGCTGCTGAAGATACAAGGCTTCAGTCAGGAGACAACTGAAGCCTTTTATCAATTCTGACCACCCCATCCTTTCATATTTTCATTGAAATAATATGTTATGGGACTAATCTACTCCCAGCTCTTTATAGACTTAGGTCACCCAATGAGTTATTATTACATCCTAAGAATATGCAAATTGAAATCCTCTGAAGGTGTGTGTTTTTGATGGAAGAATACAAATCACTTGAGACATGACACTTTTTTAATTTTGCTGATGAATGCAATGCCTCTGAAGAATGAAGGATTGATGACATACCAAAGTCCCTTCTTCCATTGAAAAACCATGTATGGTTATAGGGCACACTTCTGGGCCCGTGTAGCACAGCTACACAACTACTTTTTGTAAGAGTCACAGTGGCATTGTACACTCAAGAATATGATTCCCTTTTGTGTAAAATATTATTTCTTTATAAACTCTCTGAAGTGCTTTGTTAGTGCAGCTGTATTTCTCCCCCACAACACAGAACAGGCATGAAGTTAGTGGAAGTACATGTTATACACACAAAGTGACAAACTCCTCACCTTTCCCCATCAAGACTGAGTTCAGTTTGTTTTCCTACAGAGTTACTGTAGGTCGCACAAGGCCTGCTGATCATCCAGATGTTGTTAGCTAGTCAAACCTCAGCGAATGTCCGACAGTAAGCTTTGAAAAACAATAAAACGTCAGTCTAACAACAGAATCCACACTGGGGCACATACAAGTTAAGCACTGATTTGTTTGTCCTCAGTGAACACAAACTACACCTTTCTAATGAACAGCATGTCACGGCACCAATTTCAAAGCCAATATCTTGCGAAACCATGAAACTTTCAATACATTTATCTCTTATTATTGTTGTCTCTCACTACTTCAGCACCAACCTTTGCATTACAGAGCTAATAACAAGGCTACCTAGGAATGCATGCTTGTGATCCATTAAACATGACAATTGTGGTGAAAGCAGACCAAATCATTGGAGGATATGACCAGTAACAAAGGATATAAATGATCAAAATAAATCTCATGGCAGAAAATACAGAACAGTAAAAGTTTACAGAAGTCCTAAAATCACCAATTTCCAAAGTGTGAGTGTGTGTGTGTGTGGGGGGAGCAGGGTTGGTTGTGGTGCTGAGTGTAATGTTTCCTGATGAACCTTTGTAAGTCAACGCACTGCTGAGAGTAATGGGCTCCATTCATTATTAGCACAGTTGATTTTCATTTACTCTTGGCTCTAACAATTAACTAGAGCAGCTGTGAAGGTGATGAAGGGGTTGGGACACACAGAGGTCAGACAATGTTGTAAGTGATAAATTAAACACTATTATCAGCAGTGAAAGTGTCTCTTTGCACTTGCCACAAACAATAGGAGATATTTCTTCTTACAGAATTCATTCTGGAATTCTGAGATTGGTAAATGATGTGAAACTAAAATGCATCTTCTGTTTTGAGGAAAACCGTTTGCTTTTTATTTATATGGATATTCCCTGTGTGTGAATTATACATCACTGAGAACCTTATATAATACAAATTAATTAGGAAAGGCCGTGCAAGACAATAGCTTTACAGCTTTGCATGTTGTGGACTAAACAGTAATAACAAATAAGGCATTGGGATATCACTGAGAATGGAGACTCACCCAAAATGTGATACTTATTTAGAACTTCTACCATATCTGCTATAGGTTCCTTTTGTTAATCTTACATTGTACCATTAAGAAGAAACATTTAACAAGCCTGAAAAGGCTGTAACACATTGATTTAGGATTTAGAATATGGCTTCTGATCTCCAAGAAATTTGATTAATGCCAGCCTCATACACCACAATCAATAATCGCAATTTTTTTTTTTCTTGTTCACTCTGTTGCAATGAACACCTGAAATGAGGCAACCATGACAACAAATCTGTCTGCTGTTTAGCATGTCTGTTAAAGAGCGGGCCTAAAATATTGCCAGGGTGGCCTTTGAATCTCACCATTTACAACAGAAATCGACTCATTCTGTGCTAGCTATAAGAGTGCACAGTAAACAAGGCAGACACACCCCCAGAACTAAACACATATTGATATTATAGAGCAAACTAATGTATTAGTGCGATGTTCATCTGTGCTCAGATAGCCACTACAGTGCTATCAGTCATCCAAGAGTGACAAACACAATTACACTCGAGTGCTAATAGAGTGAAAGGACCAAAACGGCTGACCTCAGCGTCCTGGGTCGATTTAAATGTTTGATGTCTCATTGAATTAGTATCACAGTGTGAAAGACAAAGCTCCTGATAATGTAAATGGGCCTGGACATGCAATATTGCTGATTGGGCTGATATAATTAGAATAATATTGCTCTCAGCGTTAATAACAAGGAAAGGAAATAAATAACCAAGAGATAACTTAATGCTGCATGCTAAAATGCTCCTTTTAAATATGCTTAGGCCAGCTCTTTCTGTTTACTCATGGGCTACTAGTAATTTGATTACTGATGTCACATCACAATAAGAGGAGAATTTTTTTAAATAAAATTACTTTTTGAAAGTAAAGTATGTTGAAAAGAAAGCCAGACAAATATTGTCTACTTTACAAGCATGGGTCTTACTGAATTCTGCACCTGGTTAGCTAGCTGAAATCAGTCCCTGTATTTCATCAATCTTTCATCATACTATATCATCAATGGCAAAATTTTCAGTTTTCTGTACTTTACACCTTATGTACTTTAAAATAAGCAGTTTTCAGTATCACAAGATTTATGTCTATTCAGTTCCAATGAAACTAAATTTGATTTAATCATAAAACTGAAGCAGTTGCAGGTTGCATGGCAGCTTGTTATTTGAATGACAACTGCTAAATTGTTGAGAAAACCTCAGACATATTTTAGTTCTACAAAATGACTTTAGCTTATAAGGCTATAGACACACCATATATAACTATGAACAGCGTACTGGCACAGTGTAAAGGAATTCCTACTTTATTATTGCTATGCATTCAATTGGAAGCAGCCTCAATCTCTGCACTGTGGAAAAAGAAGTAAGTCCAGCAGAACTGCAAAAACACGACTTTTATTGTCAAAGTGAACATTTGTCAATATCTAAACATTTTGGCCAATATATTTTCAACCTTTGTTCTCCCGCTACTTTACCTTTGCCTACTGCCCTGTCTCTCTCACACCTGAAGAAGGCTCCACGGCCGAAATGTTGTGTTCTCTTTCTTCTTTTTTTCAGCATGGAATAAACCTATTACTTGTTCATTTTCATTTGAATGCATTTTGTACACACCTGGACCATTTACTGCATTGGTTGGTTCGAGTTTTAAAGATACCGCAATTTGGGATTGTGTCGTTATTATGAGAAAATGTAATACTGTATGTAGCTAATGTATTACTAATGTAATATTTACTTATATCATTAACTTCTGTTTGCCTGTGTTACAAAAGTAAGTAAAATCCATATGATGGGAAAAAGAGCACTTTCATGAACTTAAATGTTTGTCTGCAAGCTCCTCGTGTTGCCACAGTCATGGGAGTTTTGTAAGCTGACAGGGCTAGACTCCATGAGGGTGCTGTATGTTTTTGAAAGCACAGAAGCATCCGTACACCAGCCAGCACTGTTTCCAGGTAGACTCGACAGCAGCAGATGAAAAGAAGAAGGGAATCTCTATGGGGAGATTTCTGGGACAGGATTAGGCCAGCGTTCTCTCTTAATCAGGACAACCGGTATGCGTCAGAACAACTAGGAAGCAACACCATTATAATTACATTCCCTGGACCCAGAGAGTTATAGTGAGGCTGTAGGAGTAATGAAAAAAACAATGGTAACACATTGAAGGCATCAGGCAAATAAAATACTCCTATTCCTGTTTTACAGTATGACAGTCTTTTTTGACCTAGTTAAAATACATACAGTATATACTGTAGGTAACATCATAAATAATGTAGCGTTTTGAGATTTACTGCAGGTCTTTAGAATGAAATGTGATGCATTTTCATTAATGCGCCAATTTATTTAACATACAGTATGTGGTAGTGCTGCTCTCTACCTGTCCAAGCATCCATGTACCTATCCGTCTAGTCCTCACCTTTCTTCTGTTGTTATACCATTGTATTCTCTTTTACCAATATAGAAAATACCTATAGTATTAATAGTAATTAATATCTATACCGTTGTTCTGCCCAGGATTCAAATACTGTCCTCTTATTGTATACAATGACTCTTAATAAAACTAAGACTCTAGTAGTGTAAGGGAAGATTGCATAGAAATTCTATACTGTCATATACAATACAAAAGTGTGTACAAAAAAGATGGGAATATGTACTATATAGAAACTTTGTGCTGTTAACACTGCTGTTTTAATTTTTTTAGATTGAAAAATGTAAACTTGATTTTACAAAATTTGAATATAAATTAGTAAAGAAATATATAAAATATATCAACTACTGAAAGCAATCTTTCTTTTTTCATGTAACTCAATTAAGTTTCCTAATTGTAAACTATCCAGTAATAGAAATTGAATAAAAACTAAGTTACTTCATAGTTTCCACTTTGTTTCATATTGTACAGTAAAGACATATTACACCCATACATCTTCCCTAAGAGGTAATACCATTATCATGAAGAACGTATTTTAGATTAAAACAGCAGAGGAATGAATAACAATGGCTCCACAATTGTATAAAGAATTGAATAAACCCATGTTTGCAAGAATGAACTGGCCATGACATCCATATTAGATTCATAGTTTTGTTACTTTTGTTGGTTTAAACTGAGCAAATGTTCTTCGTGTATCTATCCAGTTAGGGAACAAGAATAATTTCAAATCTGTCTATATTATATGAAAACATATCTGATTTAGCTATATTAGTTTTACATAGAACTTGAATTGTAACATTACTGGTACCGGTATGTATTTTCATGAGTAAACCTGAGCAAACTGTTTCTCTTTCATGTTCATGTTCGTGTAACCAATCAGTTAAGAATATTATTCAATTTACCTGATGCAGACTATTCTTGAAGAGGAGTATGATTTAGTTTTTATAATGTCATGTAGATACAGTGTGCTTAAAGTACTCAGTACAAGCAGATATTATGTAAGTTGTCTAGAAGCATATGAAATTAAAACAAGCAAGTTCTGAAATTGTTTTCACTGTATCCTGCACACAGGGAAAACAGCATCTGTACAATCCTACTCTTCTTTATGTTTCTAAGAACTGGAAGGGATGCAGATAGATTAAAGAGCTAAAACATTTCTTTTATGTTCTAGGCAATGGGCTAATTAGCTAGATTAATAGGGGCCCTGGGACAGGAATATGGGATGAACGAGTTAAGAGTTATTTAAAAGCAAACAAGTTAAAAACAACAAAAACTCCACAAAAGATTGTTCATTAGGTGTCACTGACAATGATATAGCTGACTTATACAGTAACATTTCATTTTTTTCTTATCTCATTACATTTTCTTATTCCTGCTGCTTTACATATATATATGTGTTGATACAATAGCATTCAGATGAACAGGAGCCTCATAATATCACCATGCACTGCTGTAAAAGATTGCATGTATAATTTATGGAGCAGCATGTCCCCAAGTTAATTTTGCCTGGAGCACTGTTTATTTCTGCTTTGTACTTTGTTTAAAGCCAGTTGTTGACAACTCTTGAGCATGTCAAACTATCACCGCTAATAATTGCTTAAGGAGCTGGAACTTTTGCAAATGTTGGTTCCAGCACAAAACACATTCTCCTCGCCCTCTCCAGAACTCTTTCTGATGAATTTTTGATTCCTTCTCCCTTTTCTTAACAGAGATTCCTCTGTAATTCAAAGCAATAGCTGTAAGTGATATAGTAAAAAAGAATAATGTAGCGTGCTGCTGAGAACAAGCCTGATCCTTTTAATGTGCAGTAGAAAAATTGTCAAGCAGTGCTCTTTTTCTCCTTCTCTCTCTTTTCTCTTTTTGATTAGTTGAGTTTTTTGTTCTTGACCCAAGAACCAGGGAAAAAAAGACGCTCATTGAATTTGAATATGCTATGAGCCCGTGTGTAATGTGGTGGGAGATGGAGGGATATCAGTACTGCCCAAGGCAGCACCTATATCTGTGGGTCAATGCCATTACTCTTCAGATCGCTGCAGTGCCACTCAACCTGAGCTGCCAGCTGATTAGTCCCAATTAGAGAGCCTGTCACTTTCTCCATCGAGCGAAACACAGGATGAGCAGATCACTCGTACTTTCTGTAACGATCGGACGCGTGTTAAAAAGTCTAAAGTGATCGCTGTAGGCTGAAAGAATTATTTTGAGCACAAAAAAGGCGAGACGGGGAGAGAGAGGGAAGGGTAGCACTCTTTCGCAATATATGACTTACTTCGGGGAGCGCTGTGAAGAACATGTTTTGCTCTCAAAGACAGCCGCAGGATGTTAGACTGCCTTTTTTGACAGGAAGGTTTCCGAAGTCGGTGCTTATCTCAACCCAAAACTGGAACATAAAAAAGCGTGCATATAGTTTATTTTCTAAACTGTCTAGAAGCACATGTTGATAGGTTAATAAAATAAAAATGTCATTAACAGACAAGGTGAGTGTTAAAATCCTCAATCTGACCAAGAGCAGTATCTTCAGTCATGCCTAGTTCTGTAAATCCAAGTCTGGACTCTTATTAAACTAACAACAGGGCTACCAAATGTAATGACAAAGGTTATCTTAGAAAAGGGAGAGAAATAAGAGCTGTACACACAATTTCTTTATAACAGAAAATGCTAGCGGCTCAAACTAAATTAAACCTTTTTGTACATATATTATATTATTCTACAATCTGGAGCAAAAACATATACAGTACTACCAATGAATTTCAAAGTTAACATGAGGTGTACACATGGCTATATGTAAAAAGTTATAAAACTCATACTTTTCAGACCATGGCTTTTAGAGAGAGAGAACGCACATTCTTATGTGTTCCCAGAATTGTAGTATAATTTAAGTGAACAACAGAATAATGCTTTAAAACATTTATTTTAGTGTCTAAATACATTCCTGGGAAGTGTGGATTTGTTCTTTCTTTAAGGAGCTGGAAACAAAACTAAATAACTCAACTGTTATTAAGAAAACAAAATAAATCTAGTAAATATTTTTTTTAGTAAAGAAAATATTTCAAATACAACAAAAAAGGTACAACTGACATGTTTGTTAATTTACTGTAGTTTACTATACTATTAAAATATAAGGTGATACTTAATCAAAAAGTGTTCTTTCCATTATTTTACACATTTCTTTTCAATACTTTATTTCAGAAAACAAAGTTGATACCTCTGGTATTTATTTGCTCAGCCCTGCTCAGAAATCCCCCCTCCCCTTCTCATAATGAGCATGCTCAAAATAACATTGGCCTTTTTTTAGCAGCAGAGATGTTAGCTTTAATGTTGGTATCTCCTGAGGGAACAAACAACAGTGTTGTTATACCATGCATACACAAGTCTTTAGAGTCTTTATATTAAAGGCGATTAAATATTAATGCACATTTCATTGTGTGTGAAGTGTCAATAGGGTATTTGCCTATTAACAAGGAGACTGCAAATATTTAAAGCAACAACATAGGCATTTGTTTTCAATATAATGATCTGTAGTTCACAATCTGAAAGCCAGGTCTGGGATTATTCTAATATGAAACAACACATAGACCTAACACTTCAGATTCTATTGTTTATTTCTTTTCTCAAACATGAAGATGAAAATACCTTGCTTCAAATTTTGTTACTTAACAAAGGGGAAGACAGGAGAAGGAGAATGCTGTGGTAAAAAAGGCTTACCATTAACTACAATTATAATTGTAATTACCCCCAAGCAAAAATAAAATAGAAGAAAACATTCTTTAGAACAGAATACTTATATAACAGAATAATGTTTTTTGGAAAAGGTAAGAAAGAATTATTTATAAGGATCTATCAGCAACACATTTCAAAAGGAATATCCAGCTTTCTATTTTAACTAAGAACAAAAATGTCAAATAAAGGCGATATAATTTTCATGATGGCCTTTAACAAGACTCTGGAAAACCAGTAGGACAACAGCCAAAATCTAATGTGGGTCTCCGGAAGGGGTAAAAATCAAATAGCTACAAAGTAACCAAATAAATTAATAATAAGCCATCTTAGAAACACATTAACATTGATTTTAAATTAAGATTTAATTTCAGTTGCTTAATTAAGATTCAACTCTTCCCATCTCCTATCCTTGAAACAAGAGAGGAAAACTTAAACACGAGGCAATAGGAGTGTGAGGGCTGCTTCTGTGATATTCAATGGCTGTGCTTCCAACTATGTGCCCTGATATGGCCACTGTCTCAACAGCAGAGCCTGGGGAGACATGTCATTGAGCACGGAGTGCAAGTTTAAGGCACAATAATTACGATCTCTTGAAATACACACACGGCGCGTGATGATTAATTTTAAAATCCATTGCATCCCGACTTACCTTAAAGGCAAAACAGCACGCTCCTTTGGGAAGGGGCTCTCTCTGCCAGTGAGCCGACACCTCCCTCTGTGATCTTCAGCAGTGACATCCCAGAGGTGGGCCGCTGCCTCTCTGAGTATGAGCACCCTGGTTGAATCAATTAAAATCCGCCCGATTCCGTCCATCAAGGGCTGCAGAACACGGTGCTGAGTGGTGGACGTGTAGGCGTTCTTTCCTGCAGATCCCACTGTTTTTCAGAGTTTAAGTGGTTGTTTTATGTCCTTCGAAAATATCGAAAGACGTGTACATATCAGGGCAACATTTCTCATGTTGGCACACTTATGGAAAAAGAGCAAAGTAAATTTGCAAATTTTTGCACTCTTAGTGTCTTCTAAAACCCGACTAAGTCTAAGGCATCTTGTTTGTCTCCTGAAATTATCTTCAAATGGTGGTATCAGATCCGTTTCTAATCTAGTAATTTATATCCAACTACTACAGGGATCATTTAGCACATTCACAGCTAGGAGTGAGTAGTACTCCTTGATCTATGATTAGGTTAATCTTGAATTTATATTATAATGAATGAAAACAATTGGGGCAGGAAAAAACAAAGAATTACAGATATGTAAGGAATGTTTCAAAATTGCTTTCCAATTTGATCCACAACCAGTGTACATCTCCAGATAAATGTGCACGTTTCAATAAATCAGTTGTATTTTTGTTAATGAGTGATACACATGAAACAACATAAAGTGCGCATCTGGGTAAAACTGCAAAAAGGCATAGAAGACATAGAATAGCAAACAGAAAAATAGTGCTGATCATTTAGTAAAAGGAATATTTTGCTAGATTTGAAAGATTTTGTTGATTTTAATTTGACTCTGTTAACAAATCTCGGCTTTTATCTCTTGCATTAGAGGCCTTTTTTCTGTGATAATTGATTCACAGAAATATGTGCTGCAGGTACAACTGGATTCAGAATGAAGTCTGAAATGAAGAGGGGCAGCTCTCTCACCAAATTGTGGAGAACACAGGCGGGAGGAAGCTGGTAATAAATTGGTTTAACTAGCATGCAAATGAAATGAGGAAAACTACCTCTGTATCCTCAATTAATCTAAGAAATGTAGTAACACTTTGTGTTAGAGATACATAATATTGGTGATATCAGTAGATTAATACCTCTGCTCCAAAGCAGTGCAGTGATTTAGGCATGGGTTAATTAAACATTTACATATATGTGTGGAACAATGTATTGTACTCTGAGGTAATTCATACCATCAATATGCACTTTAATCAGAAACTACAGGAGGGGCATATGTTTGCTTGTAACATGCTAATTGGCACCATGCTGGCCCTTAGCACAGGTGTTGGGCTGGATTGAACAGGACAGTGTACAGTACAGTACAGTATGTCAAATATTTCAATCAGGGGCTTTTGATGTGATTAACAGCACCACTGCATCCTTTGCCACAGACCCATCGCACCATAGCTAAGAATCTGTGCCTGTGGCTGGAAGGTTGCCGGTTCAAATCCCGCAGCCGGCAGAGGAATCCTACTCCGTTGGGCCCCTGAGCAAGGCCCTTAACCCAGCTACTCCAGGGGTGCCGTATAAATGGCTGACCCTGCGCTCTGATCCCAAGCTTCTCTCTCCCTTGTCTGTATGTCTCATGGAGAGCAAGCTGGGGTTTGCGAAAAGACAAATTCCTAATACAAGAAATTGTATATGGCCAATAAAGCGATCTTATCTTATTTCTGAGAGGTGTGATTTCCTGCACAAACAACAATTGAAACACTCTGAAAACATAAAGGAACGTAGCTTCTAAGCAATGCATCATAACTTAATACACTAAAGTATCTGGAAGAGTCATGTGACTGGTATAAAAAGGTCTATGTTTTTAAATAGAAGGTAGCCTTATTCTGTTTCGGGCTCTGAACCGACCTAGAATAACTAAAGAATAGAAACCAGGGAGTCATAAAGAAATCTGTTATAATTTCTTAATTTTTATTTACACTGCTCAAAGAACTAATGGGAAACAAGGAGAACATAAATTGAAAGCATAATTCTTAAAACTCCCTCTCTAAATTAAAAGGGTGAACATAAAATGTAGAAATGAGGAAAATCAATACACGAGGAGCTACTTCATTACCCAAAAAAGTCCTGTTATCAATACGCTTGTATCTGTGTAGGTTAACACTGGTGCTATGTCTATTTTTTTTTACCTCCTACTGTATGTTTCGTAATATCTGATGCTATAAAAATATTTGGTTTGTCCAATAAAGAAGCAAGCACAAAACAAATTCTATGTTCTACATATTCAGATAAATGTGCACAATTCAATAAATCTGTTGTATTTTTATTAATGCGTGATACACATGAAACAACATAAAGTGTGCATCTGAGTAAAACTGCAAAAAGGTCAAAGACATGGAATAGCAAACACAGAGAATGATCCTTGTGCTGATCATTTAGCAGAAGGAAGATACAACCTCAAGTTTACACAATACTAAATAAACTCCTCCCTTACCTCTGCAATCACAGACCCCGGAAACGATACGGTCATCAGCGCTGTCAAAGAAAAGTCCGAGAAAATGAACACGGCAGAATTTTATGCCATTTTTCCTTTTATAACTACATATTTTATTTTTTAAATGAATCGGTGCAGAACCAAAATTACTGCAGACTTTTTGGAAGCTTTTAGACACAGAAGCTTTTAGAATCTGCAATGAGGGTTGATGCCTGCAGTTTTATTTGCGTCCACTAGAGGGATTCCATGTTTGCCCGTTTCTTCCTCTGAACTTCCTCAGAACTAAATATGTCTGCACATACAGATCTATTTCCACCATAAAAAGAATGTGACCGCTTCTAAATGCTACCCCAATGAGCAATTTCTTTCTTTCTTGGTAATATTTATTTGTAAAATTAAAATTCTGCTTGTTTTATTTTTTCATTTAACGCGCTTGTTTGCCACGACTGGAAACACTGCTAGTTGTGTAACCAATGATCGTGTTAGACAAGACATTATTGAGAAATGTGAAGATAATCCAGTACAAAGAGAGGTAAAAACATACTGACGAAAATGATAACTTCATGCCTTTTAATTTGCTGCTTCTACACTGCTGCGCAACGGCTGTACACATCGTAGACACAATCCTGAGTAACAATATAAATTCTATGAGAACTGAATTTTATACTTCACTATTATTATGTAAATGTTGTGTTTTTTTTTACCCGGTTTCGTCAGGGTGAGAACAAACCACGTTTGTCAGGTAGCAATCTTTAATTCATATTGCTCATCATTTGGTTTTGTTCAAATTTATACGATCATCATGTTGTAATCACAACAGCTCAAGGTAAACTTTACTGAGCAGTAAACGTCAAGTATTGTAGTAGCTAATCCAGAACTTTAGCAATCAAATCTAAATGGCCCATTGTCAGATGCTCATTGTTAGTAACATAATTTGTGTTCTCTCCAGTTTCATAGAGTTAAAAGGACATTTATTTTGTACTTCAAAATACAGATTGGGATTTACTTTCAATAAAAAAATGTATTTGTGTAAAGTTCCAGCAGAATTTGGGCATAGAATTGTGTTTGGGCATAAAGAAGAAAAAGGGAATGCAAATACATAGATAAACAAGAATTTGAACACTTAAAATTGTAATTACATTTTCCCCAAATATCCATACATCATTACCGACATGGAATGCAGAAAGCATATTTCACTCCTATATTTCCCTGACACATTCATTACTAATGCATTTATTATTGTTCAGTAACAAATTTTCTACAAATCTAAACAAAACACAACTTACTAACCAGGCTTTTCTGGTAAGTGAGAAACAAAGTAACACTCCACTAACTAAAAAATTGAGTGGCAATCAAGTTATAGGTTTTGAAAACCAGCCTGAAGGAAATTAGTTTCAACAAGAGAATATGGGTGGTATATTTCCCCTTAACATATAGTACAAGAATAAAAATATTTGAAATGCAAAAACTGTACATTGTACAAGCTAGAAAAAAAAACATCTGCTGTAAATGACACTGACTGCAAGGCAGATACATTGAATACTATTTGATCACTCTGGCATCCTAATCTGTGTTACTTTATGTACAGGATAAATCTAAAAATCAATATGGCAACTCAGCAGCACTGTACCGTTCACCACAATGAGAATGTGTGGTAGGGCCCCTTGATGTAGATGTATGGCTGTTTACTGTAATGAATAAGAAGCTGTTAATTGCTGTGGATTTTGAGGCATCAAGAGCCATTTTTAACATGCAATTTGTCTTGTGACAAAACCCATATAGTGATAAACACATCATCAACACAGAAGAACTGCGTGCATCTGAAAGTTGTGTGAACCCTGTAAACTTTGCAGCAAAAATAGACAAGCCAGGGATCAGCATGGGAATTCCTGCAGAAAAATATTTAAGATGAAAACTGCGAAAGAAAAACGAGCAGAAACTGACTAGCACAGAAAACATATGTTTTGCATATATATTCCATTTCCAAACCGGAAAAATACCACACCGTTTGAAGCAATATGGAGCATTTCCATTCAGTCCTTTAACAAAGGAGATAAGGATTAAGTTAGATCCCTGCTTCCACTCGGATCCCATGAGGTTATAGTTCAACATTGTCAACTAGATACAACTGCTCTCTTTCAATAAATCCTATGCAATTTGAAATTAAAGTATTTTTTAAAAACTTGTAACTGCCATTAGAGAATAGCTAACTGTAAAAACAGGGGTATAAGTATATTCTTGATGTGAATACTACATAATACGGGTAATTTTAAATGAGTCTACAAAATTTCCTGTACTATTTATGATACATTTGTTATTCTTTGTGGACATTTATATAACTAACACATTCAATGTTTAAAATAGTTATAAATGGAGATTGGTCTTGCTCATTGCTTAGTTTGCAAAAATTAAATGAAAAAACACTCTGCATGTTGTCAATATGTACACACTAAGTGTGATATCTAATGTCCTTTTTTCTGACAAGCTGCTCTAAACCATTTAAAATGTTTTGCAATAATTTAGTTAAGCTATCACATGGACCAATACTTCTTTATTAGAATTATTAAAACTGATTTAGAATTTCAGAAAATAGATCTATTTTAATATATATGCTATTTTATAACAGATAATTTAGAATCACTTAGTGAGTACCATCTTTAAGAAAGATTTTAATACTTTGTACTTTAATGCTTTAATACTCCAATGAATTGTATTGTTTTGCAAAGCTTCTCTGGAGGTAATTTACTTGCATCTACATTCTACCATAAAAAGAAATACAGATGAGGTCCTGTTTTCACTGACCCAACATTACATCAAAATCCAGCATCTTTAAACTGCTTCCTCAAGCAAATTAGAACTAATAACGGCTGACTGCACAACTGTTTGGGCTCATTAAGAATATTGCACGAATAAAGGGAAATCTGGCTCTGATCTTTAAACCATAAAATATTACAAGCAGTTTATATTGAGTGTATAGATATAAAATGTACATACTGTTTTGATACAATACATAACTATGATGTAGGATATACTTTCAGGCATAAAGAATACAGTCACCACGGCAAACCTATTGAAAATAAGCATACAAATTATTGTACACACCAAAGCCATGCTGAATCAAAGCTTAATTACCACCATGTTAATGTTATATATGTTAATGTATATAGATTCATAGTATCTGAAAGGCTTGCATATTAAAAAACAACATGCAAGCTTTCTTGATAAACTTTTAAAGACATCATGCATCATGCAAGCAAGACATACAGAGCAGGTGAAGAATGTCTTGAAATGTCAGCTTCTAAGATGAAAACAAATTGAAAGATGTGCTCAAAAGAGCAGAGAGAATATTCTCTTTCGAATACTGCCAGCAGGCTTTCCTCTTGTTAAGATTCCATTGTCAGATAGTGCCCACGAGCACAAGCCTCATCCCAGGATGTGCTTTTCATTATTTTATGTCTTGGTAGTTCTGGGTACAGTTTTTGTGTAAAGCAAAACAGAGAAAAAGAAATCACAAAAATACATGCTTTTTTTAAAAAAAACTTTCTTCACTTAAAAAGTAACAACATTTTCGGATATGTTGCTTACTTCTGTTTTCTCTAGCATTGCAGATTATAAAAAAAGAAAATAATAAAAGAGGCACAACAGTATTTTTTTCATCAACTTGAAAAACATACCTCATTTCAAAAATTATTTGCAGGTGTTTTAGTCCTATCTAATAAAGAAGAAGTTCAAGAATCTTTCACTGATTGTTTGATAGTTTAGTGTAAAGTTTTGTACTAATGTCGTTCAGCAGAAGAAGTGAAGGTATGTGAGAGGACATGGAGTATTTGCAGAAATGATCTGTTCCAAGATTATCTTTGATCATAAGCTCTTAAGGACAGTAACTCATTATGATTGCAAAAATAATGTACTGTTAGGATTCTCTCTATCAGCTGGGAACTGAAGACACCCCCAGCTATTCTGGATCAGTGCAAATTCACACTCACAATTTGAAAGAGCCACTTTCATTTTAATGGCAGACACTTGAGTCCAGAGTGAGATTCCCAGTTTCTGCAAACAAGAAGAGTCCCCATTGTGAAGCAACAACGCTGGCTGTCCCTTTAACATGTGGCATTAGTAAACAACATATTTAAGCCTAAAACAAAGTATTTCCCTGATGACTGTAATTATTTATGAAATCAAACAGAGCTAGGCTGTTTACTATGAGGGACACTTTGAGATAATCAGATTGTTGTGAACTGATAGATTATTTGTAACTATCTACAAGACCAATTGCAAGTTCTGCAGACTCTTGCTTGCAGTTCAGTTCAAAAACACTGATTAGCTTTTCTTCATAGACAACTTTACTTTATTTAGCTTTATGGAGAGTCTTCGGTGACAAGAGAATTGTACCAGGAATCACATAGTCAATGGGATTTCACTGTATTCTCTTAGTCTCCAGTTCTGAGCGTTCAGATCTATCCTTTCCCAGCACATACAGTATACTATCAGAATTCACCTTATGCATTGAGACGTCAATCTGACACACAGCATGCTGCAACGCTGTAGGAGTTCTTATCATTAATTTACACAACAAATTAAATTCACGCCACTGTTTCCAGATTTTAAATACATATTTTTAACAGAGTTTTGGCTTTGTGTTTTAAGCGTTTGGAGCAGTACGCAAATAAGAATGTTGTGGCCCTTCTCAGAATCATCACCTTTAAAAAGGTTTGCTGTGCTGACAATTCGCTACCAGATGAATAAACGAGGGCGAACGTTACTCCATTCGCACCACAAACTTTTCCCTAATTAGCTCTCATGCCAGAGTTTCCTCACATATTTACTCTGATGGGACCAGAATGTTCTCTGGCTGCCGCTGATTATTAAAAATAAAAATGGCTAAATTATTTAACCTAGAGATTATTATTCCTAATTTAAATCACACAGGGGTATCACTGTAAAATTCACGTTTTTAGGGCTTTTCGCCTCCAGTAAATGTCTAATACAGATGGTTCCTTCATTTTTCCATACGTCTCCATAGAGTCTCTTCTTTCTTTCACTGAAGGAAGGCAATTAACGCTTGGATTTCCTTCCATATACAAGC